GGTAATCTTGTAGACCAGTTATTAACTTTGGTTATCTATAACCCAGACTCCGGATGTTAAAAAAACGGTCTGGTTTTAGCAGACAGAGTTCGTGAGTTCGTTTTCGAAACAGGAAGCTATTTTTATCAGCCGGAGACAAGAGTTTAAATAATAATCTGGTTGTACCAGAAGTAAGGGCCCCAACCCCACATGCAGAGCAGCACTCGTGTGTTTGGTTGTTTTTTTTTTCTTACTTCTATAAGTACCCTACCAGAAATCCTGAGGTCTTCACACTAGTGACCTGAAACCAGAGCGATGACCCTTCAAAGAGAACACGGTACGCATTCAGCCTTTCCTCCGTAACTTAAGAAATAGCAAAAATCGACACTTTGTATTTTCATTCCTGCGTGTTTTCAATTAACAGTTTTTGACTTGATCGACAATGGGCTTCATTCAACCGAATATCAACTTGAAGGTAAGAGGGCCTTCTATGTACTAGAGTGAAATAGAAATGTTCTAAATTTTAAAGTGTACTATCCTGATGTGTATTTTGTATATTGTTTTTACAGATTTGTACTCAGGCGAGGAAATAGGTTCTACAAGGGAGAATGGCATTCCATCAGCGCAGGTTGTAGATCTCACAGGAGAAGTCGGTAAGTAAGGTTACCTTAACTTTTAATCAGTGTGTAGGTTTTATTTATTTATTTACAAACTTTTACGCAGATGTGGTAACAGTACTCTTTCTTTCATTACACCCGCAGATGGTGCGAGCGATTGTGAACGGTACTTTATGCAGGGTCTCTCCCCTACCTTTTACGAGGAGAGCGCTCCGGTTCCGGAATCGGCAAAGAGGGGACCTCTATGCGGTTAATTTTTTTCAGCTAATGAGTGTTTGTATCTCTTAAAGACTTCTTGTTTCTTTAAAAAATGGAAATTTTAACATCAGTGTTAGTAATATTTAAACATTTCTCTGTGATCCAAAAATATTCAGCCACTTTATTGAGAATTTACAGTTTTACCTGTTATTCAGAAATAACTTGGATGCATGCACAAATATCAAGGATTGCAGTATTGCAGCAAAAGGTACTTTATCCAGGGTTCAATTATATAAAATGTCTTATTACACTAGTGCAGTCATTTAAACTTTCTCTTCAGGTTTGTCTGTGGTGCTTGGTCATTTGGTGAAGTAGGCCTTTTTAAAGGGCCTTCATCTTTATCTTATTTTGTATTTGCTCTTCATAATTATAAATTAGGACTAAAATGCTCAGCAGCATGATCCTATTTTTTAAGTAATCACTAAAACAGGTTTATCAACTTTTACTAAACCTTTGGAATAATTCTGTCCCCAAATATTGTGAAATGAAATTGACCAGTTATAGACAAGATTTCTATCAATTTTGCAATGTACTTGTTTCTTCAATCTAAATTTTATAGGATTGCATTTTATTTATTGACTGCATTACAGAAACGTCCATTGTTGGCTGGCATGTAATGACACGGAGTTCCCTCTTAGTTCCTTCCTAGCTAGCATGGAGCGACACTCCAGCATGGATGAATAAAGAATGGGTATTTCTATTAAGAGAATATTGTAATCTAAATTAAATATTTAATTTGTAGTTACACTTACAAAATAAGGACAATTCTTATGTAGCAAAAAAAAAAAACTACAAGTGTTAACAGCGTCCAAATAACTCTAAATGTAGTCTTTCAGTAACATATAGACTATGTCCCTCATTCTAAACTAAAGCCTTACTCATAACTAAGTCACTAGTCATGCTAACAGGCCTCCTCTTTCCCTTTAGTAAAAAAAGCTAGAATTATAAAAAAAAATATAGTTTACAACTTCATCAACTGGAAACTTCAAGAGCTAAAGTTTGATCCTTCTACTGAGAACCAGCTGCCTTTTGCTAATTAGGGTTTATTAGACTATTACAGAGGTCATGAATCCAAAACCCTTCCCTTGGGGATGAAGTATTCAAATGCTAGTTAGCTACTTTGTTGACATAACAGGACAGTAGTTTTCTGTTGAAAATAAAACAGAGGTTATAATAAATCTCCTACAGGTAAAAGAATAGAAATAAGCTTCTTTATTTTGGCTCAACCGTGATCTGTGCTAATAACACTTATTGCACGTTCCAAAGCTCAACAGGAACCAGCAGCTTCAACAGCAAAAGTCTGTAACAATATCTATCATATGGCTTTTTTTTTTATGTAATGCCCAGATTTACCACGGGTTCTTGACTAGCCAGAACAGGATGTTCAGCAGTCTTACACTGTTTCATTGCAGGTCTTGCATTCAGCCATAGTGGCTAGTTTGCCCTTGACAATAAGGTTTTAGTAAAAAGTCTCATCACTGCTGCGACCTCTTTTTAGAGACCATGCTGTTTCTATTTTTTTTCTAGTGTCCCCTTCCATAGCATTTTTCAGAGACACTACTAAAGAGGAAAACAGATTGCCATCGATAACCCAAACTCTAGGGTTAACTCGTAATTTTCATTACATTTGTTATGTAGTAAATCTACAACTGCAAAGCAATTTAGTGATCCCTACCATGTAGTGATCAAATGTCAATGCTCTCTCTCTCTTCCCCATATTTAAAATGTGTAAAACTAATACCGCAAAACTCATCAGGATCAATCTTCTATGTGTAAGTTAACATGTTGCAAATTTTACCCTTGCTACTAAGAGTTAGTACATGACATCCAACATTAGTCCTCATTTTCTGAGCTGCTTTCTGAGCTGCTTTTGTCAAGCTTTGTGAGACGTGAAAACATTAATTTCACCCCCACAATGTTTCTACATCACTGAAAAGAGCATGTGAAAATCTAGTTTTGGGGAGAAGTCTGTTTTTGCTTGTGATAAGCTAACCCAAATGGCACCATCAAAACTTCTAGTTTCACATTTAAAAAAAAAATCCTGCCCCGCCTTCATACTATTTACCTGTTTTGTGAAGCACATGCAGGAAGGATTGAATTACAGTCAGCAGTGGTTTACTGTCAACATTAGGTTATTGCAGAACAACAAAGAAGCCCCCTGCTGTGAAGAAGCATTTTGAGTAACAGAATTACATATCATGACAAATACATTAGTATGTACCACCGGTTGTTGTGGCTCTAAAAACTGAGTTGATGGCTCACTATGACTCTGAACTGATAGTAAAACACATGCTTTTGTATTTGTATTGCGTATTTACCATGGAGTTCAGCCGTTCTCATGTTCGCCTGTTTGTCCTCTCTCTGTGTTCTTGTTACACGGTGCAAAAGAAAAAATCTTATCCATTCTAACCAAAACAATACATATGTATAAATATTTACAACTTTACTACAAGTGTTATGTCAGTTACAGGATATTATAAATCTAAAACTTCAAAGCAATGTTAATTACATTTTCATTAGCTTCAGAGTTTTCTACAGCAACTGGCTAGGAGGTGATTAAGTCATCTGGAAAGGGAGATCATGAAAGTGATGGCAATTTTTAGTGAAGTTATATGTAATGGGCACTTATCTGACCAAATACCAGTCTAAAGTGAAAAGGGCAAATGCTTGAGTGACAAAAACAATGCAAAGCAGGAGAGCAAGAGTCAGAGAGACCAAACTGACATAGGTTTATATGGGGACAAGCAGCTGTACTGTCCAACAAAAACTAATGAAGACACTAATTTTAAATTTAAAGTTTGGTGATGTTGACACTGACTTGCATTAAAATAGCTTTAAAAGCGGCTTGCTAGTTAAACATTTCTATTGGGGCATACCTGTAGAGATGTGCCGTTTTAATATATTGGGGTGGAAAATAAAAACAGTATTAAGAATATATTAACATAATAATTTAATAGAAATACGGCAGCTTGCTTAGCCTACATGCAATGAATCAATCGCCTGACTCTCTCCATCCCTGCAGAATGTACGGCTAGTATACCACCATATAGTTGATCATGTGTTATACGCTAATTCCAACATTCTTTTCTTGATTCCCATGTGGAGAGACAAAACTTTTTAAATGACGTGTACATTTTGACTGGTTTTCCACAAATGTAGCAGTAGGTTATATTACTTACTAAAGGGATGTCTTTAAAGACTGTATGCACTGATCGTCACCAGTTTCAGCACTATCCTTAACAGACGTGTCTTCAGTATTTCCATTAAGAGCTTTAGCCCAAACTCCTGGTACTTGTACTTGCTTCATTTCCCTACAAGTGTTTCACTGTGTTGGTTGACTGCAGTCTTAGTGTTGGACATTTTAATATTAAGTTCTTCTGAGGGTTGCAAATATTTTGAACGTCCTGCTGTGCTTTCCATGAAACTAGTCTGATTGACTGTAAGAATCAGGTACATATTCCTCCTCTGATAAATTCTATTCACTTGGACTTGGTTCTTAAAAAAAGCTTAAAAAGGTCTTAGTGAGTACTAACTTTGAGAATAATTCCGCAATGACACTTACGAGCCTACCTAACTATTAACATGTTTAAGCTTAAATACAGATTTTTGCTGTGAAAGTAAATAACAAAATCATGTATCACGCATAATCTATACTGATAATCATTTAGATGCTTAATTTGGTTGTTCTTTTGAAGCATGTGCAATTCATCGGTTGGGTTGATTTTTCACTTCACTTTAATTGAGGTGCAAATTGATGTTGTGTGTCTCTTTGTTATTTATCAAGAAAATTAGTACTAAAACTTTGTAAAGAGGTACAAACATAAGATTCTAAAATGGGAGACTGTATAGTTTTTACATGGAAGCCAATTGACTTTTTATACGAGTATGTTTAAAGTAATTCAGTGTTTGTGAAGAAATGGTTGCTGCAAACTTGTTGGATTGCAACCTGCAAGACTTAAGATAGTTGAATAGACTGCTGAAAGTGTTAAATATTTGTCTAGATACTGTTTGTCCACACTGTCTTTGGTGTGCATTTTGGTGCCATCCATGTTGAGTTCAATGTTCATGTGCACTAGAGTAGCTCTAAGTTCTTCACCAAATTAGAAGTGTAATTGCTAATGAAAATGTAATTTCATAATCAATACTGTTGTCAGCACAACGGTCAACTTGAGGAGGGCTCCTCAGCAGTACCAGCTTGGAAAATGTGCCAGATGAAGTGAACCCTTTTCCCTCTTATGTGGCTTGGTGTGAGATGTAAAGGTGAGTATTTAATAAATAACATGTTGCATTCATGAATGCTTAACTTTAAACATAATAAGTAATAGTCTTATCTTCTGTTAGAATGCTATTTCAGTGAAGTGGTAGTTTAATTAACTTTTTTAAATCTTTGGTTCACCAATATGCAGTCTATTGGACTTGATACGCAAAGCAGCAAATATTATATTTACAGAGGGTAA